GTCAACATAATTACGTCAATCAGTTACAGACTACAACCAGGATCACACCACAAACCTTTTATTTTAAGAAAAGTCCGTCGGACCATCCTTCTACCCATGTTTTAAGAGCAAACACATATTAATTATAATATTAACAGCCAACATTCATTGCATGCTTTCATGCAAATGTTATATTTATCTTTATCGGTTGTATCAGTCTATCTTTCCTTGATATATAAAATGCAACATGAAATACATGAATTTTTAAAATATAGAAAAAATCATATACAAGCCAATAGCTTCAGAAAATCAAGACTTTCATTTTATCCGGTGAAATTTATGAATGCTATAGTCAATTTGTTTGCACAATCCGTATCTATCATATACAAGAAGTTAAACGATAAAAGCTCAATAAATTAGAATAAAATATATTTTATCACTTTTGGAAAGATTAAAACTACATAAATCAAAACCATAAAAAATAAGAACAAGAGTATTGTCACTTACAACGAGTAGAATAATTTTCATAACATGAACAATGGACAAAAAAAAGCATTTGGAGGGCTTCCTCTCTCTTCTCTCTCCTCTCCCTCTCCATCTCTCCTTCTCTTCCTTTTCTCCTCCCTTCCTTCTTGGACAAGCAAACCAAATATAGGGTGATGGGGTGATGGCAGGGATATTTAGTTTAAATAAAAAAAAAAATTGGTTTTAGTATCTAGCGATGTGGCACCCAACAAACCCAGTACCGTTGCACCACATGATGAAGCTATAATTAATGTAGACCAAAATTTTTGATGTCAAAGCAATGTTTTCTGGTAGCATTGTGCTCTTAACGCCACTGTGCTCTACCAACGCCACAGCGCTCCATACAAATTTTTCTTTTAACATCGTGCTATCAAAATTAAATAATCTCACCACATAATATCTCTTTCCTTAGCATTACTAATTTATGATATTTATATTCTTTTTCTTTTTGAGCCCTAGTTTCTTTTTAGCTCCATGATATTGTATAGGTTTTCTTCCTTCGTAATTTTGTGCACTTTGTCTTTTTGTATCATTGATTTTGACTGATGAGAATGGCTAGCTATCCCTCTCAATTTTCCAAACATAAATAAATAAACAATAAAAAGAGGATATCTAAATATCACTCAAAATTAGATGATATCCATATATTATCATGTCTTTTATTTTATATTTGAAGCGCTATAAATCATGTACTCCATCTATAACTTGAATATTTAGGACGTCCTCAGCATCACTCTTATATCTAATATCTTGACAGGAGATAATCACACCTCTTGGAGCCCTACGATGCTAACAACCCTTTGAACTATGAATAATGTTGGTGTTTGTTCTACAAAGAGACTTGAGGGTTTGACTCCTTATGGGACTCAATGAGTCATTTCTCTTAAGTTCATGGCCAGATCCTCCTTATGAATCAAATACCCTCTATTCGCCAGATTTTCTCCCTCCTTTTCCAAGAAGAGTGGCAATGCAGCCTTGGATAGCGACTATCCATAAAAAAAAAACAGTACTGATGGAGCAACATTCACCATCAAGACAACAACATTTTCTATTAAAAGTTCAAGTAATAAATTCTCTAACTCTCGAAATGACGAGAGATTATTCTATGCAGACGTCGAGCACAGCTCTATATCCGGATACCAACCAGAATGAGCCACATCAGCGATACTATGCATTCTAGAAAGATTTTTAACTCTTGCGATCGATTCCTTTTCCCCGATACCCCTAACATTCCAAAGAAGAGCTTTAATCATTAAGGTATTTGGAAGAATTTTGAGCATGGGTGAGCGTGGGGTAGAAGGTTGAGAATTTTTAGAGTTCTTCCTCTTCTTTTTGACAATTTTTGAATCGCCATCATCATCACTATTTTTATGATGTTTAGCAGAATTAGAAATAGAGGAAGAAACCAAAGCATCACTATTTTTAGGAAGATTAGCAATATTAGATATAGAAGAAGGGGCCACAATTTTACTCACAAAATTTTCATAAGGTTGGGCATTTTGCTCACCGTTAGGAGGAAGATATTCCCCTTCTTCACAAGCTTCATGGATACCATCTCCAATAATTTCACCATCTCTGTTATCAATATCAATAGAATAAGAATTAGAATTTTTTTCTACAATATTAGTAGCCATAGGATTTAAATCATAATGAACCGTATCAATGTTCTCAATGTCATTTAGCACAGATTCAATGGAAATGAAAATTTTAGGATCAGGAGCCTCATTATTGTTTCCAATAGTTTCTTGATTTTCCTCCTCAATAAGAATACCACCACTAGAAATTTGCAGAGGTTCTTGAGAAGCAACAATTTCACCTTCCGACTTATTCGACGAAGGAAGCGGTTCCACCTGATTCGAAAGTAAAACCTTCCCGGTAGGCACATAAGTTTTTCGGTGGATCCATGCTTACCATCAGACTGAACAGTCATTTTTTTAAGCTCGGGTGGAGTTTAAAGCAATCAGAGGGGGCGTGTCCATGTATCTTGCAATAAGAACATAAATCATGGACTTTCTCGAATTCAAATGTTTCAGATCCAGCAACAGAACCCCAAGGGTTGGGGGGCTGCGAAGCAGCCATCAGAGAACAAGCCCACGCAGGGCAAAGAGCTAAGGATCGAACACAGAGCACCGAAGACACGAAGAAAAACCATAAAATTGGAAAGAAATCCGAGCCAAACGAACGAAAACGAAGGGGGAAACGGAAACCCTAAATCGCCAGAGCGGCGGGTTTCAGCGAGAGCGTGGTGGGATAGGATATGTATAATGATCCTTCAACCCAAGATGTTGCCTAGTTAGTTATCAATCTTTAATTTAACCCTAATTATGGACAAGTTGATCATTGGTCTTTATCTTACTATCATTATTCATTATCTTAAGTCAATTCACATGTGACTTTCAATAATCATTGAAAAGTTGTTACTTTCTACCTGTCAGCATAATTCCGTCAATCAGTTACAGGATACAACCAGGATCACAGCACAAACATTTTATTATAAGAAAAGTCCGTCGGACCATCCTTCTACCCATGTTTTAAGAGCAAACACATATTAATTATAGTATTAATAGCCAACATTCATTGCATGCTTTCATGCAAATGTTATATTTATCTTTTTCGGTTGTATTAGTCTATCTTTCCTTGATATATAAAATGCAACATGAAATACATGAATTATTAAAATATAGAAAAAATCATATACTAGCCAATAGCTTTAGAAAATCATGACTTTCATTTTATCCAGTAAAATTCATGAATGCTATAGTCAATTTGTTTGCACAATCCATATCTATCATATACAAGAAGTTAAACGATAAAAGCTCAATAAATTAGAAGAAAATATATTTTATCACTTTTGGAAAGATTAAAACTACATAAATCAAAACCATCAAAAATAAGAACAATAGTATTGTCACTTACAACGAGTAGAATAATTTTCATAACAGGAACAATGGACAAAAAAAGCATTTGGAGGGCTTCCTCTCTCTTCTCTCTCCTCTTCCTCTTCCTCTCCCTCTCTCATTCTCTTCCTTTTCTCCTCCCTTCTTTCTTGGACAAGCAAACCAAATATAGGGTGATGGGGTGATGACAGATGAAAGTTCGTTCGGGATGTTAAGCCCTATGAACTTAGTCCCAAGCTAACCAAGAGGGGGGGGGCTCCTTTTCCAAGAAGAGTGGCAATGCAGCCTTGGATAGCGACTATCCATAAAAAAAAATAGTACTGATGGAGCAACATTCACCATCAAGACAACAACATTTTCTATTAAAAGTTCAAGTAATAAATTCTCTAACTCTCGAAATGACGAGAGATTATTCTATGCGGACGTCGAACACAGCTCTATATCCGGATACCAACCAGAATGAGCCACATCAGCGATACTGAGCCGAGGTACTGAGCAATAGCGAGCCCCGGTACCACGGTGTCGAGCCCCGGGATTAGGTATCCAGACTGAGTTCGACGTCCACACATAATAATTTTTCTCATATGATAGATCATATGAGCACTATCCCTAATATACATATTGCAAGTTTCACCACACCATACCTAAGAATGGTGCTACAGATTGCACGAATTCCCTCCTGGTTACAAACCAACAAACAATCCTCAATGTTAATATAAAAACATACTTAAAAAAGTCATGACTATTTTGCAATCACACCTTCTGCAAAACAATAAGAGGATTTAAAATAAGTTAAAAAATAGCTCTATTTCTATGTTTAAGTATACTAATTTAATTTCATAAATACAATCCAACTGAATAAAAAAAATTCAAATTCAGAACAGAGTTAGTCTTAAGCTTCATTTGAAACGACTTTTTTATTACTTTTTAAAACAAAATTCTATTTTAAAAATCAATAAAAAAGTCATCACAAACGAAGGCCTCGGTTGGAATGATTTTCTTACTTCTTCTTAAAGCAGCTTTTTTAAGTAGAAATATATTTTAAGAAACAGTAATAAAACAGTCTCAAACTAAACCTTAATCTAAAAATAAAATAAGAAGATTTTGTAATAAGTATGCTTCAGCCCTCATAAGAACTATGAACTTAATTAAAGTTTGTAAATAAATAGTCTCTTTATAACTATTAACTTCATTCAAGTTTGCAAATCTAAGATTTTGTAAATTAAAAAAAAAAAAAAAACTCTTCTGACAACCCTGCAAAATAGTATGGTAAGAAGAAATATGGTCGGCTTGCTCACTCCAATTCCAACAAAATGCCTTGTGTCACAGCAGGTTTCTTCTGATATGTTCTTTTGACTTACAAAACTGCCTAAAGTATAGGTCAAGCAGGCTTTTACTCTTATTTGACATCATTTTTTTTTTGGATTTTTTAATTTTATTTTCTTTAGAACATTTGTCTTTTGTTTTAATTCCAAGTGTCCCTGATCTCATCAACCCTACAAGATCTGTCTTCTTTTGCTTTCTCTTGATTACACTTGCAAACAAAAACAAAAAAGCAAAGGAATAGAAAACAGCCTTCTGAAAAAAAAAATATAGAAATTTGACAGAAATGGCTTTTCAGGCCAAAAATACTATTCAATTATCTGAAAAAACCATAATAGCTAACAGCTTCTTTATCTTCCTCATACCAACTTTTATCTAAATTATACAACAGCAAACAACTATGCACAATCATTAGCCTCCATTATCAGATAGCAAACACTCCTTTCTACTTGAAGCAAAGAATAATAACAAATCAGGCTATGAACAGAAGAAATGAAATGAAAAATATATATAAAAAAGAGAAAATTATATGAGTTCCTTCAGTATTCATTAGCTTTTTTATTATGATTTTCGATGAAATGAGGACTTTTCTTTTACTGGCGCTTGGTAGAAGTCTGCGTAATTTAATCCCACTTCAGAATGTATTAGTGGGAGTTTCATGGGTTGAATAACGCTTCCTTCAATACCTGTCACAAAGCCATGAAAGTCACTATTTGTTTACATTGAATAGTTTACCACTAAGTCTTATAAGTTTTTGAAGCTCTGATTAATGAAATTCTGATTTACCTTTGAGAAAAGTGTTAGCTTCAAAGAAAAAGAAGCCAAATGTAAAACAATTTTGCAGTTCTAGTGGCCCCAGTAGAAAGAGCTCACCTGGTGCTATCTTCCTTCAAGCACACACACCATTTGGGAAAGAGAGCTCTTGGCTGCATTCATTCTTTGTAACTCAAATGAGAAAACAAGTTCTCTCACCTGCTGCTTTCATGGATACCAACAAAAGAATCTTATTCACAAAAATGCACTGTACTAGAATGAAAGGAAAAGCTTGTTAAGACAAAAAGTACTATTCTTTGATCAAAAGAATAAAAAGCACACCTTTCAGAAAAAACCAAGCTCTGCATATCCATGTGAGTATGGGAGAAGCTCCTCAATTTCGACTCGTGCACTAGGGAAGCTCATGTTCTTGATTCTGCTATGGTTAATGGATTCAACTTCTGCAACAAAAATGCCATAGACTGGTCTATGGTCCGAGAACTTCGATTCCCCCCGCACGTACGATAGTTGGTTTAGTCCTCTTCCATACCATAGAATACGATCGCACCTTTTCAGTGGAAAAAAAAAATCTATGTCAACTTTGATCAATTGATGCTTATAGAAGATTGATCAAGGTATAATTTACCAAGCTGGTGTGCGACGTTTTTCTTTGGAATGCAACTCATCTCCAGCATATCGATCTGAGTTATTCGAATATTTGTAAGTAGGCGGGAAGTAAATCCTTCCTTCACTCCATCCCTCGAAGACACGGCCACATCTTTGCTCTATTCGAAGCTGATTAAGTTTAAAATAAAGTAGTTAATGAAACTTTGTTTTGCATTATTCTAATTTAGGATGAGAATCCTTTCTTTCTTTCTTCATATCAAACTTTGTTTTATGCTATTTCAATTGAGAAGATGAGAATCATTGCTTTCTTTCTTTACATGATTTCTAGCCATGCTGAATCTTTTTTATGTTAAAGAAAAGAGTAAGCATGGCATCATCTATACAACAAGATCTTCAGATATTTTCAGCTTAAGTAAGAAGATAGAAAACTCTAGGAAATCCAAATATAGCGAAGAAAGGATTAGAAACCTATCTACCCTGGTCTAATCTTTTAGATAATAAAGTGGATAAACCAAAAAAATAAGAATGGAATCATCTATAGAACAAGAACTTCCGATACTTGGAAATTTATTATCCAAAAGTATTTCATGCATAGTAAAAAGAAATGGATTGGCAAACTACCTGATCTTTTTCCAGTAATGCTTTCCAGTTGTGCATCTCCACAAGAGCCTTTGTCGATCGATAAGACAGAGCTATCCGGTAGTTCAGATCGCCGAGCCATATTATTCGGCTACAGAAACATAGGAAAAATATATATAATTTTTTTGTTAGAGAAAATCCTCTATCTTCTATGAAGTAGAATATCAATGATTTCCAGAAAAAATGGTCTCACTCATGTTCAAGGATTGATTCAGGGGATTTCTCATCATCAATTCTATTGACACGCGGAAATCTAGTTTTCCTTGTGATCTCCATTACATCAGAATTCCTTCGCAATTCATCACCCTCCTTTTGGCCTGAAGTTAAATGGCTGCAGATGAAGCAGAAGCTTGTTTGGTGCAAAGACATGCTTATCGCAATCGAACCCTGGAGAACAGAAGTTCAGAACTTTTTTCTCTTTGATGTCTCACTATTTATTTATCAAGTAAACTTAATGTTATATTCTTGGTTTTGTGATTTTATAAAAATTTGAATTGCAGACATGAAGCTTAATAAAAATTACATGATGTCATAAACATCTTAAGAGAAAAATACATATAGAAATCTCTATCAGTACTAGAATTTCCTGAATGTACCTTGTTTCCAAGATATCCCATCAATCCTCGCCCCACGCAAGAGACTTTGATGTTCTTGACATCATCTCTTATTTCACTTCTAACCCAGACCATGAGAAGGATCCCAACCATTTGCTTACTGGCAACCAAACAATACCTGAATGGTTCATAGATTAGGCCATAGAGCTCCTGTTCTAGAGTAACTAGCAAACTATTGAAGTAAAAAATTACCTAGAATATCCTATTGATGCATCTCTCTCTTCCATGGATGATGAAGCGCCGTAAGCATAAGACATTGGCGAAAAGTAAGCAGTGCTTGGTGAATCCCCAACGACATTCTCATCATCAGAAGAGCCAATACCCCATCTAAAATTGGGATCAAAATCGCTCGGTCTGCTCCCAAACATAACACGCTCGCATACGCTATGTCTTCGTTCCAGCCTTGGTTGGGGGACAAGCATGTCACCATCCATTCTTAAGCTACGACTCAAGGACTGAAAGGAACGGCGATGGAAAAATGACGAATTTCTCTGATGAGCTGATGATGAACCTTCAAAATCATCATCAAGCTCAACAACTGGATCTGGAACTGGGGAAGGTGTTTGATAGCTGCTGCTGCTACTTGTGCCAGGAAGATTATTAAGTGTTTTTCGAATTAGAGCTACCCATTTCTTCGCCGGTCCATTGTCTTCTGCGCCGAGAACATTCCCGGCATTAAGTGGAACTATTTCCTGAAACCTATAAGCATCCAGATTATACTAATATCTTCTAATGTTGTTTAGAGAATTAAATTTTCACTGAATCTGATCAGAAGGTGAGTTGCATACCCTAATACATATATATCTGCAGGAGGAGAGGCATGGAGCCAATCCTCAAGATTCAAATAACTTGGTGGGGATTTACCACCAACATTCCATGTTGCAGCAAAGATCCTTTCATCAAAAACAAGGAACACAACAGGTTTTATGTGTCAAAGATTGAGAGAAAAATAAAAGAACTGACTAAACAATTTACATAAGTTAGATGGTTGAGATTTCTATTTGAAACCTGAATTCTTGTGTCTCTGTGACTTCTGATACATCACAGTCAATCTTTCCTCGCTGAAATCGGTCAGGGTTCATACGAGATAGTCTTTCTAGTAATAAGAAAAGAAGAATAAAATAATCAGGAAGAAATCGAGTATTTAAGAACTGGGCAAAGAAGAAGATACTCTACTAATGATCAGCTCAAAGGTGAGAGAAGGTTATATGACCTGTTTTACTCTTTCTTACAGTAGATGAGCTCCTCTCTGTGAAACTGTTCCTCCATTCTCCACTGCCTCCTAAAAAGAACAATAAGGGCTATTGATTACTCATTTTGCATGCATTCATGAGCACTGAAGCAAGAACTTGAACAATAGAAAGAAAACTTTTTATCTCTCATTTTCTTCTTCTAATTACCAGAATTAGTTCCAGGAAAGTAAATGATGAATAACAGTGAAAAATAATGAGGAAGAGAAAACCCAGAATTAAGGAGCCAAAAGAAATTTAAAATGACCAATTTGAAGAAAAAAATAATAGAAAAACAAAACGGGCAAAATTTCAATTTTTTCAGAGAAAGAAACAAACTCCTTTCAAAATCACCTACCATTGATGGTTTAAAAGTCTTGATTCAGAAACATTTTCTTTTTTTCAGATCAACAAGGTGGGGGCATACCCATACCCATCACCGTTTTTAATACTAACATTGGAACCTACGTAATCTGAAAGGGATAGCTCCTCCACGCTGCTCACTCCCTGCTTAGATATTCTAGCAAGTGAAGAAGAAAAAAGAAGCCTACCTCTTCTGACGACATCATCAGCATGGAAGTCCTGAGATTTGCCCTTGAGATTGAACCATTTCCGAAGAAGAGACTTGGACCATGAAAGCTTAATACCATTGATGAAAAGCCAAGTGTAGTCACCAAGTTAGCAACTTAGGAAGCAAAAGGACACAAACAGCACAAATAATAGATTGAAACAAAGCCAAAAATCCTTTAAAAACCTTGCTTTTCTTAGAATTCCCATCTCTCATTGTCTCTGGACAACCTTCAAGCCCTTCGGCTTACTCAGCATGCAATGAAAGAGGCATTCCCATCAGAATAAGAGACTCACTGACACAGAGGAGGACAAAGGAAGGGTTTTTATGCCGGACAAGGAGAATAGCCTAGTCGACAAATATGATTTCTGGGTTGTCGTATCAGAAGAACAAGGAGAAAAAACAGGATTGCTTCCTGATCTACTTTAATAAAGAGGAAATGAGGCTTTTTGCTGCCTTAAATGTTTCTGTTTCTCGATTTGAGAGCTTAGGGATCGAAGCCAAGCAAATTGGGGGAAATTGGAAGAGGAGATTAGCTCATGAAGTGATGAAAACTGGGTCCTTTTCTGGAGAGGGGAGCAATGCAAGGTGCAATGGGAGGCAGTGAGAAATAGTTTTAAAGTTGGGTTGTTGGGAGAACTTTCTCCTTCAAATCCTAATCTTTAGGGGCAAATGAAAGAACCGAATTTGAAGAGAATAAAGTGTTGAGCTTCAGCTACTCTGCCCTCCCCCTTCTCTTTCTCTCTCTCTTCCTCTTCTCATCTTTGCGCGCTCTGTCTCTCTCTCTCTCTTCTTCCGGACTTTGACTCCAAAATCAAGGAAACAGGGCAAATGATATAAAAATAAAAAGAAATTGAGAATTTGTTTTTTTTTATTTATTCAACTTGGAACGGGTAAAAAAAAGAAAAGAGTTGCCCGAGGTGCTGCCCGGGCCCAGCCCTCTGTTATATCCCGTAGCCCGCGGTCAGGTGGATGTACTCTGCTCGGCCGTCTCTCCTTTGTTCTTCCCGTTGGAGGGGCAAGCAAAATAAAAGTAGTTAAAGGAGGGGAGAGAGAAAGAAAATACGTGCACCGGTCTGAGGCTTTTTCTCCTAATTTTTTTGCTTTATAATTTTCCTGCGTTAGCAATACGTGTGGCTTGTTTGAAGAAGTATGTAAATTTTTTTCTATTTTTATCTTAGTCAGTAATGAATAATTAGGGGTGTCAAGACTTAACCCGACCTGAAATTCAACTCGGATCCTACCTAAAAATTTTCAGGTTTGGATCAATCCGTTTGCCATACGGGTCGGATTCGGGTTCGGGTTCGGGTTCGAAAAGTCAACATGTTTAAAAAATCATGTCAAGTTCAGGTTAACCTAGAAACCCGAAAATGACCTGAGAACCCCACGATCGAGCATTTGATTATTTGAGGTATAGGTTTTTAATTAAACGACGTATCAATTTTTGCATGGCCATCCATTCTATTATCCCATTTAGTCATTCTATTGACTTCGTTCTTGGTTCTTTGTCATGCTCTTCTCGACTTCGTATGTTTCCCTCTTTGCTCTTGGCTTCTTACTCTCTCGTTGATTATGCAGTAGTTGTCGGTGAATAAAGGCTACATCTCAATGGAAGTTCACGAGCCCAAAAGATTATATTTTTTTGTATATCTAATATCTTTGCCTACTTAGGGTTTTCTATTATTTTTGTGTTGATGGATTTTAAGGTTAATATTTTCTCACCTCATCTTTCAATTTTTGTAGACATTCTTTTATTCTTTAACATTCGTAGGGTTTTTTAAATTAGGATTTTTTAAATCAGGCTTTTCTATTTTTTCTAATTATTTTAAATTTTTCATAGGTTAGGATTCAGTTCATATTACATTTGTTACTTTACAAGTTGTTGTTGGAAACTTCTCTACAATTTTAGTTTAGATTTTAGGGTGAAACGATGAATCTATGGCTCTGTGCTGATTGCTGCAATATTATTGTATTATTGTTGTCATGATTCAAAAAGTTATTCTTTTGTAGAAGTTTTGTTGTAGTATTCTTTAAGTTGAAGTTCTGTGTATTGTGTAGCTTTATCATTCTATGGTAGATAGGTAGTTTTGTGCTATGATTCTGTAGTTCTGTGCTATGATTTTGTAGTTTTGTCATCTGTGGTATGCTTCTTAGCTTCTATAGTTATGTAGTTCTGAAGTTCTTCAATGCATAGTTTAGTGCTTCAGTGCAATTTGGTGTTTATGAGTGCCTTGGTTCACTAGTTTAGTGCATAATGTTATTGCCGACATAGTTTTAGGTAAATGCTACATAATCTTTAGTTGTTCAATTGTGTATTACTCTTTATAACTAATAAGTAATAACTATGTTTAATTTCATTTGTTAGATGGAGGACTCCAAAACTATTTTTGACAGTACTCCTATTCTTAAAAATATACATGTTGTTAATGAAGGGGATGAAGTTGAAATAGATTCTAATTTTGTTAAAGATGATGATATTTGTGACAACAATGTTAAAGAACATATTCTTAAGAAAATAAGAAGGATGACTTCTAATGTATGGGGTCATTATGAGATGTTACCTCTACCTATTGATGATAAACAAATATGTAAATGCAAAAATATGGTGCAACTTACCCATGTGACAATAAGAATGGGACTGACAACTTAAAACATTAATTGCAAGTTTATAAGAAGAGAAGTACCTCTGATATAGTTCAGTTAAGTTTATAGTCAAGTTCTAACCCACTTATTTTCTTAACAAACACTATGTTTGTCCACCAAGACTTTCGTGATTTATTCATTGCTGCCATTATCATGCATAATCTACTATTTTTGTGTGTTGAATGGATTGGTTTACGTGCATTACTTCATTATCTCAGTCCAGACCTACATGTAGTGTTTGGAAACATGGCTAGAAGTGATTGTAAGAAGATGTACATTAGGGAGAAAGCCAACATTCAATTAACCTTGAGTAGATGTACTAGCAGAGTTTGCTTGACTTCAGAACTTTAGACTTCTATCAACACTGTGGTTTTATGTTTTTGACTGTATATATTTCATTGACAATACTTGGACAATACTTGGCAACTACAGAAAGATATTATTAATTTTGGTTTCATACCTCCCCCATATGATGGGATTGCATTATTTGTGAAGCTTCAATTTTTTCTTAACAAATGGAACATTTAGAATAAACTTTTTATATAACTCTGGATAATGCTTCTGCTATACTATTTCAATGGACTTTTTAATGAATTATTTGAACTTGAGGGGTTGTTTGCTATGCGATGGTGATTTCTTACATGTTATATATTATGCTCATATAGTAAACCTTATTATGTAGAAAGGGATGAAAGAGATAGATGTTTTTATCTCTAAGATTAGGGAGAGCATCAAGTATGTGAAAGGCTCCTAGGATAGAAAATATAAGTTCTTAAATTATGCAAGACATATTTATCTGGATTCAAGAGGGGTTTGAGGAAAGATGTTCCAACTAGGTGAATCTTAACTTTCATAATGCTTGATTCAGCTATTTACTATCAGTATGCTTACCTCCATTTAGAGTTGGTTGAGTCTAACTATAAGCATTGAGTGGGACAAATTGGAGAATATATGTAGGTTCTTAGCTCCTATCTATGAAATAACTTGTATTTTTAGGCACAAAATATCCTACATCAAACCTTTATTTCCTGTTGGTCTCAATTGATTATGCTTCCCTTAAACTTGAAGTGTGTAGTGGGCATGATTACATTAAGTAGATGGCCGCTATCATGCTTGTTAAATTTGGGAAGAATGAGTTTCATTGAGTGGTTCTACAAAAGATTGTATGGTGTTGATTACATAGCTCAAATTATAAAGGTTGGGGATATGCTATTTGATTTATTTGTTAGCTATGCTCTAAATTAGAGACCATATTAAGCGGTTCTGTCCTCAATCTCGACATAAAGTTTGCAAAATCTATCTTTTAGTACCACTTTCACTACAATAATTAAGCCTTGATTCTTACAAGTACTATCACATTTATCTTTTATACAAACTTGTTTTCCATTTGATCATTATTCTATTGTGGTTATTTACACAATTATTTTAAATTTTCTTTTATGTCCAACCCTTCCATAATATGATTATGATTTGTTTGAGGAAGAAGTAACAATAGCTAGGAAATCTAAGCTTGAAGTTTACCTAGAAGAGCAAAAAATTGATAGAAAGGTAGATTTAAATATCTTGCATTTCTAGAAGTGCTATCAATACATATTTTTTGTTGTAGCTGCAATGGCCCGTGATGTCATTTGCATTCATGTTTCAACTGTTGCTTCTGAAAGTGCATTCAGTAATAGTGGCAGGGTTTTGGATCAATAATGAAGTGTCTTAAAATATGATATTGTTGAAGAACTGGTTCATGCAAAAGATTGGTTATATGGAGAGCATGGTAGATAATATTTTATCTATTGCATCTTTAAATTTTATTCAATTGTATTGCTTATTTAAACTATGTTTGTTCTTTGTTGTAATCAACGATCCAAAATGTGATAATGTTACATAGAATATTGTTGGCTTAAACATTGAACAAAATTTGATTGAAGATGTTTATGGTTCAATGAATAGAAATAGTGGTGTTGGCCCTTGAGGAATGGGGGGATTTGTCGTGTTGTAAGCTAAACTTTAAACTTTAGGCCTTTCTATGGTTGTGTAGGTTGTAAAATGAATTGTAAGATGAACTTGACAATGTTGTGAGCTATCCTGGGTTGTTGTTATTAGTTCTTGGTTATGCCTGTTTTGCTTGTTGTTTTAATTCTTCTTAATTTTTAAGCTTCATTCTTGTTGGAGCTTATGTTATATGATTTGAAGTTTTCTAGATTGTAATTGTTGTTTGTTGGGTTGTGTACTTGCAGTTGTTGTCTTGTTGTCTATTAGTGTATTCAGGACCTCGGGTACCATGTTACTAGGATGTTGTTGTAATCGTTAGTGGTTTCTTAATGTTGGGTTGTCTTTATTCGGCAACAATTGTTGCTACCTTGATGGTTTGAGGTTTCTTCCTTATTGGCTTATTGTATTATTTCATGGGTTGCTGGTTGGTTGTTTTTGTATTTCCTGGTGGCTGGGTTAATGTTGTATTTCCTGGGTTGCTGGGTGATTATTGTTGTATTACGAGGCTACTGGGTAGTTATCATATTTCTTGCTGGTTTTCTTAATGTTGCTTGTCTTTATAAAATTGTTATAGTTGTCGTTGTTGCTGCCCTGAGGGATTCAACCTTGCTGAGTTGTTGGGTTTTCTTTGTTACTTTCTGCCCTGCAGTTTTCTGAATGCAGGATGCAAATTTCGGCTTGTTGCAATCTCATTATGCTTGTCTTTGTGGTTTTGAAAGGATTGAAATCTGAGTTGCAATCATGAATAACCTTATAAACTGAGTGTGAAGTCATTTATGTTATATTCTAATTAAACAGATACTAACTAAGTGTAATATAAAATGCTGCTTTGGATGGCAATACCACAATAGTAATAATATTCATTATTGACTCACATTTCAATATTTCATTACTTGATGAATATAACTTGGAGTGTTAATCTGAACTATTTACTCAAGCTTTCTTCTCTCTCATGAATTTATAATTTTATCTATTTAACTTTTTTTATGCAGTTAACTTTATTGGAAGATGGAAGCAAAATCTCTATGAGTTAGGCAGGAGTTTAGAGTTCTTCAAATTTAAATTTAGTCTATTTTGATCTGTAATTTATAATTTATAATTGATGATGTAGATTTTGTAACTTGTTATTTGTTATTTGAATTTTGTATTTTATAAATTGTAAATTGTATGTTGAAATTTGTTATTTGTACTTTGTGAATGCTATAATTTTAATAATTTATAATTTGTAATTCTGAATGCTATAATTTTT